TTGTTATAAATAAAAATCTTATAAAATAGATTTAAATCCATAAGAAGTCCATAAGAAGCCTATTTTCTCCTATCTGATTAATTCGTGACACTTTGTGTTGCATTATTGGAAAAAACAAGCAACCTTGCTACTTATCCTTCATAAAGTTTTAAACTTGAAGCATATAATAAAACATATATCTTAATTATTTATTTCCAATAATTTTTATTAAATAATAAAAACTTCAATGTAGTAAAAACATATGATTTTATAAACGAATAATTATAATAATATACATTAGAACTTTTGCGTAATGAAATTGTAATAATGATTTACTAAATTGATATAGTAGATAATTGTAAAATTAATATCAATCATTACAAGAGATTTAATGTCTTTTAATATTTTCATAATTATAATTAGCACACATCTTTGATACTTTTTTATCATTACAGTTTGGTTAAGAACAAAAAATACATAAAGTGTAGAAGAAGCTAGTGAAGTTTTCTTTATTAATATAATCAATGTAAGATACGTATAAATAAATATAAAGGCTGTATGCTTTTATATAAAATATCATGAAAAATATCATAAAAAAAAAAATAATAATAATAATAATATAAAAATATGTTTATTTGATTGAAAATAGTAATTATCGAAAGAAGGCATGCGTGTGTAAATGAAAATTTTTTAATAATGAATCATCAATTGTTTAAAACGAATTTAATAACGAACGGAGGAATAAATGGCCCCGATCATAATGTTTATTAAAAAATTTTATTCAAAATGTTTTTAACGAATATAAGGATTTCAAAATTAAGTATGCGAATGATAATTAACGCATAATGACAAATTAACGTTTGTTGTGTGCAAAGAAGGAAGACTTGGGGAAAAATACGAGCATTTTTACTCATTTGGACGTCGTATTTTCACGGCGTATGCTCTCCTTTCGACCAAACTTACCAAAGTCTATGCACTTCTTTATTCGAGTCGTTCTTACATCGAAATCACTCCATGGAATTGGACACTCGGGCCACGTCACGAACTCGATAATATCTACAAGCTAATATATAGTAAAACAATGCAATCATGTGATAACGGGTTCTTAAAATGTAAATAGTTAAAGTTTCTAGGATGCTGTTTCAAAATTATTATTATTATTCAACTGAAATTAGTTTAAAAGTTTTTTGTAGCTGACTTGTACACAAAATTTGTTAATTAATATTTAAAAATGGAAAAATTCATGGTTTATTATAGTAAAGAAGTTAAATTTCTTATTTATTTATATCATATCTTTATTATCTGTATTATTTATTAATTTATTATAAAAGCTTGTAATAAAGAAGTTTCTGGAGTTTTTGAAATAAATGTAGAATCGAATACATATATGGTTAGTTTATTAAATATATATATATGTATATATAAATCCAATAAAATGTATATTAAAAGAATTCTTGCTTTTACAAAATATTATATAAAGTGAGCTGTTGTTCAAGATGTGTATTTTATACTTCATGATGTTTGGTTGTAAAGTACAGTATTAATTAAATATATTGTAATATTTGAATTTATTATAAAAGATAAGAGATTAGGTAAGAAATTATAATGCGTGTTCGCTATGTAATTTCATTCGTCCATTCAATAAAATTGCATCTTTTCATATTGATTTATTTTTTGTTTATAAATATTGATATATTAATAATATTAATTTGTAATGCATTGCATAAATTTATTCTAGTTTTTTAATACAAAAATTATGTATTAGTTGTATGTAGCGTCATTTAATCTTACCTATATTACTAATATATCTAAGAAAAAATTGATAAATATAAATAAATTTGTGAGGATTATCATTATTATTATAATACTAAAGCAAGTACAGTGGATTTTAATTGTAAAAATAAGGATTTTCAATTCAGACATATACGTATGCGTAGCAATTAAGCATGTAACATGAAAGAAATTAAATATATTTAAGTCCTTGAATTTATGAATATATATATATATATATATATTTTTTTTTTTTTTCTATACGTAATCGAACATTTCGTCCATTCTTCGAAATTAAACTTAATTTAAATTATTTTATTTGTTTAAAAATGTGTCTGTCTATTCAATAAATAGTTTTACATACTGATAAATTTTATTGTTTTAATTGTATTATTTGAGTTTCTTATAGCAGATGTACAAAGATACCTTAATTGTTTATCGTTATCTTAAATTTATAATCCAAGACTCTGATATGTGAAGTAAGAGATATGAAAATCATTAAACAGGAGACACAAGTATAATTGCAATTTATAACTCCATACCTTACGTATGCTTAGTTTTTTAACTAAATTTTTGATAAATTAATTGTTGATAAATTGTAAGAAACGTGTAAAGCTTCCTTATTTATATAAAAAGAAGTACTATAATATAATAATTTCTATTTGTACTTAGATAATAAATATATGGTAGTTGAATTTATGTAAATTAATTTCAGAGCATTTGTAAAATATGTTTGATTTTTAAACGAGTTTACCATAAAATAACTGTGATAATGAAATGTTATCGTAATAGCTATTAAACGAAATATAATTATAATTTTATAAAATATTCATAAATATATATGATCGGATTATATAATTCTTACAATTGTATTTCGACTATCAATGTTCGTTAAAAAAAAAATATTTAAGTTTTTGTTAATATTATTCATTAGTGATTAATATTAATAAATAAATAAATAAAAATCATAATAGTGATTGTAAGTATTAGACTTAATTGATTTGTCAAATTGTTAAAGGAACTCGGATAAGGACATTATTAAGTAGATTAATCTATTTTTAAAATAATCCTATTATTTTAAAATTGACTAGAAACATGTAGAATACATATTCATAAATCTAATTTCTCTGTTTTTTGAAAAGGCGATATCAAGGATAATCTGAAAAAAAAAACATTATGTATTTGCAAATCACATTAGAAAAAAAAAAAAACAGAAGCATTATCTTTATTAATTCGTATGATTTTATTAATTCGTTTGTGAACAATTTTATTAAAAAAATTAATTAAAAAATTTACTGAAACTTTAATTTAATTAAAATATTGATTAAACTTCTTCGGCAACTTTTTATACTTTATCAGCTTCGCTAATACTTTCTCAAATATTTTGTACAATTCTTCTGTATGTACTTTACAGACGTTCTACCATGTATTAAATATACTTTTATATTAGATTATATATACTCGACAGGCAAAATTTTTTCTCTAAGTTCATATAACATCGTTATATTATTTATATTATTTGTATGATACAATGCAATCTTCTTTAAAGTCCAAAAATTAAAATATAATTTTAATTGACTTGAAAAAAAAATTGTAAAAAATTTACTTATTTTATGGCTTAGTATATTATTGGCATCTTATGGCTAAAATTACAAGGTACTTTTAATCAATAGATTTTTTGTTATTTTTTGTTTTTTTTGTTTTTTTTTTTATTGTTTTCGTTATATTATTTTTTGTTTTTTTTTTGTTTTTTTTTTTTTTTTTTTTTTTGTTTTTGTTTTTGTATTATATAAAGTTGAAAAAAGGATTATACGTGGTTTTAAAACGTGTATTTGTAACGTAACTTTAAAATTAAATGAAATGTACATGATAGTTGCTTTAACCTTTATATTAGCTTTTTCCTTTTGTGCGATAACCAAAATAATGCATGTTACTATTTTTTCACAATATCGAATTTACTTAGAGAGAAATATATTCATAATACAAATAAAAGTGATCAGATTTTTTTTTCTGCTTTTGCTATTGCCTTTGCTTTTCCATTTCCTTTCCCTTTTCCTTTCATATGTGATATATACACATGTTATATAAACACATAATAATTTATTGTGAAAACGAATTTTTGTGCGAATGGTAATTTTTCAGCATTACGATGGTAAATTGTAAATCCCCGTGATAGATTAAATATTTCAATATCGAGTAACGATTTTGATTTTCTTTCATGTAATGTAATAAATTGACTGGGGCTATTGATTATTCTACAATTAAACATGCACAATATTATAAACAGTCGCTTTTTATATATCAGACCGACAATATTAATTGTACTGCTATTGGATTTGATAGGTCGAAAAATGTTACGTACTATTATGTATGAAATACGAAGGTTAAACAGAGTTGCATTATAACTTGAAATGTATGTTAAACGGCATTTTAAGTAGCCACTTGAAAAGCTTCTTTCACACGTGGATTGAGCAGTTCAATAACGGGCTTCAGCGATTGGTCGAGCGCCAATTCCAAAGGCCTGATATTTCCAAATTTAGAATAAACATCCTGAGACCCGGGACTCGGCTGCAACTACGTCATCGTCATTCGCCTTCGACTCCCGAGGGAGTCTCGGAAAGCCTCGTAATCGTTGTTTCGCGCTCAACGGCAGAGCTTGAGCGAAGCCGCGCAAGAGAGCAGCTCTTTATAAGGCGAAGATCGGAAAAAAGACGAGCTCGGAAGAAAGGTGCATTAATGCTCGGCCCTAAATCAACAAGTGCCAGCCGAGAAGCTCGGGGGAGGCTTTACGGTGCTCTCACTTATCGCAGCGCAAACTGAGATAAGGGCGGCAAACAGAAAGAGAAGAGTGAGAGAGCGCACTAGTGCGAGCGCGCGCTCGCAACAGCGAGATGATGAGAGTGTGTGAGAGAGAGAGAGAGTGAGAGAGAGAGAGAGAGAGAGAGAGAGAGAGAGAGAGAGAGAGTGAGAGAGAGAGA